TCCTTGATCTTTCCCCAGGGCTTCAGACTTATGTGTACAACTGCTTACTGACTGTTAACCTGTCTGAACTTCCAGATAATACATCTTCATCTCCACTATCTCCACTCAGCTTTCATACATATATATTCAATACACTATTCATACACATACTCATTTTGAGAGCTCTCAAAGCCTAACAGTTCGAAAATAAATAATCCAATTATGAAATAGGCAAACTACACAGACATTTCATTGAAGAGATACAGATGTCACATAAGCACATGAAAAAGATATTGAAAATCATTACCCATCAGAGAAATGAAAATTCAAACCAAAATATTCAAACTACACACCTATCAGAAAGGCTAAAGTATAGTGACAACACCAAAAGTTAGCAGGAATGCAGACAGGGAAGGTAGGTGCCATTCTGAGGCAGCTCAGTTGGCTTGAAGGCAACTACTCTCTTGTGTGTTCACACTGACTTCTCTGTGTATGTGTGCCAAAGGAGAAAGAGAGACAGACAGACAGAAAGAGAGAGCAAGCACAAGAGACCACAGAAGCTCTTCTTCTAAGACCACCAAACTTATGGTAACAGCAACTCCCCTTTAGGTCCTCATTTAACCCAATTCTGACACTAACTGTTAAGCAGAAGGACACACACGAGAGTAATGCCTCAACATTACCAGAGTTCGCACCGAGCCCACAGGTTAGGGGCTCAGTGCCCTGAGGCTGCCCCACCCAAGCCCACCCTCACTTCAGTTGCCCGTGATAAGTCCAGGTTATTACCTGTGCTTCTAACCAATCAGAGGTCCCATGACCTTCTCATCCGGTCTGATTCACTTGCTACAGTGGCTCACAAAAGTCAGTAAAACAGTTTATTTACTAGATTACTGGGTTATTAGAAAGTATATTAAAGAATATGAATGAAAGGAAAGATAAAGAGATATATAAGACGGAGTCTAGAAGGGCATAAGCCAAGCAGACTCTGCCCCGAGCAGTTAGGCTGTGCCACGCCCCTAGCATGTGGATGTGTTCACCAGCCTGAAAGTTCTCTTAATCCTGTATTTTTGGAATTTTTATGGAGACTTCACCATGTAGGCATGATCAATTATTAACTCCCTCGCCAGCCTCTCTCCCTTCCCTGAGGACAGGGGTAGGGCTGAGGGGTCCAAGCTTCTCATCATGGCTGGTCTTTCTGTGGTGGCCCCTGCCCCTGAAGTACACCAAGGAGAACAGCAAGAGCAGCTTCATTAGGACAAAAATGATTCTATCTCGAAGTTACAAGGGATTTAGGAGCCCTGTGCTAGGTACTGGGGTCAAAGACCAAAAGGTGCTTCCAATGCTTTTAGGAAATTACAAGAGTTTTAGGAGCTCTGTGCCCTATTATTTCACACAAGCATATGCAGGTTGTTGGCAGAATTTATTTCCTTAGGGCTGCAGGACTAGGGTACTTGATTTCTCACTGGTTGCCAGCGAGAGAGACCTCTGAGCTCCTAGAGGCTGCCACAGTTCCCTATGTGGCATTCTCCAAAGATCCTCTCATACGATGACAGCTTACCTCTTTCAAGGCCAGCAGAACAAGAGCCAGTTTTCTAACAAAACATAGTCGTACATAATGTAATGCATTCGTGGGGTGCTATTTCACACCTTTGCCATAGAACGAGCATAATCATAGGAGCGACAGCCTGTCACTTTCTCCATATTCTGTTGTTGTGAAGCAAGTCAGAAGTTCTGCTCACACTCAGTGAGCGGGGATTACACCAAGGTATGAAGGTCGGGAGACAGGGCTCAGGTAAGCTACATTAGGGTGTATTCACCAAGTTCACCGTATAAAATGTAAAGCACATATCAAAGTTTCAAAAAAAAATCACACATATACCTACTGTCTATAGATCATAACTGCTGATGCTAGACGTGTCCCTCTCTGGTCCATCCCTATGTATTCTTGAACCCTGACCCCTAATGAAAGCACATTATATATAACTGAGTATCTCTGTGTGTTTCTATATTTTATGTATGTATAAAAGCATAGTTATGAAAGAGGTGCAGTACTATAATATGATTTTACAGCTTGACCTATTTTTCTAAGAACATAAACCCTGTAAATAAACTTCAAAATCTGAATTCTAGAAACTGTAAAATATCTTATCCTAAATGTCATAATTTGTCAGTTTCCCTATTAATAGTTAATTTATTTCCTACTATTATGTTATAATGAACACTATAATAAAGACAGTTACACATACATCTTACTCCTGTGAAAATAACCTTCTCAGCATATCTTAGATTTATAACTTCCCAAAGTGGGAAAATTTCAGTTCCCAATTTCAAATCTATGCCTTTATTACTACCATCACTGTTTTAGTTCAGACAATAGGCTCCTAACTAATGTCCCTGCCTTTATTCCTGACATCTGCCCACCTCAAGTCTCTATATCTCATTGATATCTGACCAGTTCACCATCACCATTCAAGATACTGGGAGTATCAATCTCTGCAGGAAGCCAGAGTGATTAAAATGACTTTTCTATATGGGCCCTTCATTGGCACTTCTCCTTATGTTGTTACCATAGCATTTTAAAATATGTTTGCATGTCTCCTCCCTTTTAATATTATAATTTCCCTAGAAGACAGAGAACAGAATATCTTTTTTTGAATCCAGAGCACCTACAGTATATAACACATAGTAATTTCTCAACAAGTTGAACAAAACGAATGAAGTAAGATATTTTGGGTGTGCTATGCAGGTATGATTTTTCTAAGCCATCTACATTTTACAGTGTGGTTTTCCATCCTTAGCAAACTAACAAAAGCTAAAATTAAATCAAAGATATTCCAACACTGTTGTGCAACAAAAGGATTCTGTATCAGATGCAACTCTTTAAGAAAAAAGAATTGAACATAAAAAAAATCTTGAAGTTTGCAATAACTCTTCCTTTGCCAAAAAAACAGTGCCCACCCAAAGATGAAGTATTTTTTGCACATGCTTACATGTCTAAAATTTTAAAATGTGTATTAGAGTCATTCCTCTTATATGCACAGAATGATCAAGATGATTAGTAAGTTTAACACAAAACCCAACCCATTATAGAAACGGGAAGGAGCAAAATAACATTTATTAATGTTCTATTAGGTAACAAGTATAAGAGATGCTTTAGGATAATTATGTCATTTTAATACCCATCCAATCCATATGATAATTATTAGGAAATCATTTTTTATCTGAGGCAACCTGCCCAGGACTCCACAGCTAGTAGGTGACAGAGTCACACTTCAAAACTAGGAAGGTCCCATTTCAAAGCTATGATTCTTCCACCTCTTTATTCTATGAGAATGCTTAGGAAATGCCCTAGTTTTACGTGTATTGCTAGAAATGTTGTGGCCTGGAGTATCGGGTGGAAAGAGTAGTAATGACCAACAGCAGGCTAGAGGTTAAGGCTGCACAGCTATGGGAAACTGTGACTGTTTGCATTGTGCTATGTTTGATTTAGTTCCCTGCCAAATGTCATGCCAAAGCTTGGACATGACAGAGATTTGTGCCTGGAGCCATCCATTCCCTGTCTGGCAGAGCATGTTGGCTGGCATACTGTCCTTGGGTATCCTAAAGTTGAATATTCTAAAGCTACATCAGTCTCTGAATAGGAACTAAAAATGACTAAGAGGAAAAAATATGTATGAAAAATAGGGTCAAGAAAAAGAATGCTCAGAGTGTGTTTCAATTTTAAAATCTCTGGAAATTACCCAGTTTCTAAAAATCCATCATGCATATGGATATGATGAGAGTTTATTTTTTCATACAAAAGTAACATGGCAGAACACACACAGTACGTAGTACGTTGTGAGCTAAAATTAAATATAAAGGTGTGCATATAAATCTATTTGCCCAAATAACTTTTGCATAAAGAAGAAAAGATATCAGTCATTACTAACAATAACATATGTGTCCACATTATACTTAAAACCACAATCTAACCTCCAACCTTCCGTTCAATATAAAATTACTTCATCATGCAGAAAATTAAAAAAAAGGGAAATGCCTCATTAATTTCTGTGTGGGATTGGAAGGACCCTGAATAGGGTAAATGGTCTAGAGAAGCTTTAGAGAAACTAAATAGACATTTGAAAATCCATTCAATATTTAAACATCTCAAGAATAATAACATCAAACCCTCTCTCAATACCTTATCCTAGAACTCACTTAAATTCCTATGTGCAAGTTAAGGCAATTTTGTTTTCTTGGCTCCTTTCTCCACAGAGAAAGACTTGTTTGAGTAGCTCCTCCACATGAGATTCAATTGATCGCTTCTTGTCATTCTCCATTACAGTCCCTAAGAATCCTCATTCCTTCTGTCTTTACTCATAGAATTCACACTATGTACTCCGTATTCATCATATATGTTTTCTTTTCAGTTCCCTCAGAATTCAGGGTCATTACAATTCATGATCTTTATAATGTTCTTTACCTACAGTTTCTTTTTTTTTTACAATAGCATTCCATTTTGAAATCACAGGCATCCTCTATTAGCCATGTGCTTTCCCTCTTTTCTTATAGTACAGTACAGAGTTCCTATTGACATGCAATTTTAAATTAAATTAACTATTTGGTTCCCCCAAACTGTGACAGTCTTAGGTAGTTCTTGACTGATAATTTAACTCATATATACCCTATTTCAATAAATTAATCATTAGTGTCATTAAATACTATATTAAATACCTCCCATCAACTTTAGGATAGTTCCATTGTTTTATTTGCAAGGACATAAATGATAACAGTTCTTTGACTATAGGTTGTATGGATCAAGGCTTTCTGTGCCAGGCAATGACACATATTTGATAACCAGATTTTTAATTGATTTTTTTCCTCACTAGTGTCATGTTTTACTAGATGAAAGAGTATATATCATAAACAAGAATACATACTATAATTTCATATATCTAAGAATGTGATGGTAATATAATTATTAGAACATTTTAATGCTTTACTCATAGAGAAAATTTGAAACATATTTTAAATGTGCATACCTTTGTCCAAGGCACATCCTGCTGTGGTCTCAGGATAGGAACCTATTGTAAAAAATATATATGCTTATTAATACACTTCATATAATAAACAGATTGAAAAATGCCAATACATAAAACTAAAACAAGAAAATGGTTTAAACTTCTACCACTGCTGATAATGGATATCTATCAACTTCAAAAAGATATTCTATCTTTGCCTTTTTTGCTGAAGTTCATTAAGGAAAAAAAGATAGGCTATAAATATTGATACAGTTCTCAATTTGAATCTCCAAAGGAGCTTTATTCCTTTGTCTTAAATGAAACTTTTTTTTCCTAGAAGAAATATACAGGTAGATTCAATACATGGCACACAATACTCAATTTAAGGCAAAAATTCAGACATCACTTTTCAAAATGTTAAATGAATTATCATGTTCAAAACAAGATGATGAAGAAGCAGGTTAAATAGGTTTTAGAATAATGAAAACCCTATATTTGTTCATCAAAAAGTGGTAGTGGAACATCAATTAAAGTTAACAGAAGCATTTTCACAGTAATAATGTTTCAAACTTTCAGGCAGCAAAACTAGAATGTATGTGCAGATAATAAATATGTTCAATTGAACTTGAGTACTTTAAACATCAAAAGAGGAAATAGAATCACATATTGCTGAGCTTAATCTCAATATTCCTTCATTTCTTTCTTTTTTATTATTCTATTAGGTGTGGAACTGCATTTCCAAATATGCTCAAATGGACACCCACATAAAAGCACACATCTAAACGTAAGAACTCTGACTGAAAATGTGTTAATACTAATTACAAGAACTTCAATTAAATGTAGAATGAAAGAACCATTCACTTTGTTCCTATTTTTTGGCATCCTATATGCTTGAAATTTCCAAATGTTGAGAAAAATCAAAAGAAATAGCCTTCCTGGGTTATCTCTACCAGGTACATTGGAATTCAAGTTTAGCATGAATGATAAATGACAACAACAAAGTAGAAATAAAAGTATTTTTTCTTCCATATTTAAAGTTTACCAAGCCAAAGAATTTTAGCTCTGCAAGTCACCTGAGTGGATAATCAAGTAAAATGCACTCAAAATATGAGCTAAGGGGGTTTTCACTGTTATATGGGAATGCCTCAGGACTTTCTGGGCAATGTGAGGAAACCTTGCTTTTGGGTCCCCTTTAATGCTCTCTCAGCCATTATTCAATCAAAGCAGACATGCAGAAGTGTGTGCTCACACATACACACTTGTTTGAAGGGTCCACATAAGATGCTTATGATAGGTTTTCAGTGCTTAAAAATACATATTAAAATTTAGGCCATCTTATTTTATAGCCAAAACTACAGTTTCACACTCTGGGGTTTGAACCTTGGACAGAATACTTGCCAAACTGGACTTTAGCCAATCTACATATCTCTTGTAACTCTCAGTTTTTCACATGCAATGAAGTTGTTGTAAAAATTACAAGAATTAATACAAATAAATTGCTTAGAACCCTTCTTAGGATATAGCTGTTGAAAATTATAAAACATTTGAAAACTAAAAAGAGTTGTTCAAAATTATTAGACAATTTGGATATTTTAAATATATTTTCCTGGTATTTCCAGTCTAAAATTCACCTCTCAGTGTGAAAACCTTAATTGGCATTTCTTCTATTTTAACATAATTATACTTTCACATTGTAATCATGCACCAATTGAGCAATGTTAAGTATAGATGACAAACTTTATTTTTGAAAGAACCATCAGAGAAATCAAAATAAAAGTGGTTGTGTGTGTGAGTTTGTAGTTTTTGGGTTTTGCGTTGTGAAGTCATTAACGGAAACGTCACTGACACGTCACTGAGGTCTGCAAGAGAAGCTCTTGTGCCCATCTAATACTAAACCCAGGTTGGTCCGATACTAGTCACCAAGAGCTTTATACTACGCTGATCTGAACCCTATACATAATGGTATCCCCACTGCTTCTCTCAAATGAATTTTCAATGTCAGAAAAATTATTGTAGTGAACTATCTGATTTTAGTTTTATTCTTCAAAGAACACAAAACTCAAAACTAGACATTACCTATTTGAAATAGTTTAGTTTTACATTAATAGACAGGTTACTTGCCTTATCATTATTAGAATTGATAATATATCATAATTAATAGATAACAACTAAAATAATTTTTAAGGAAAGGTGGTTTACTATTTTATTTTTAATTTACATCAAAATAACAACTACCTTAACCAAAGTTAAGGTACATTTCTATTGAAAGTTTACATAAAGGTACAATGTGTACAGTGACTTGAACTAAAACCAACCCTTGAAAAATAAATAATGGTTGCTGTTTAGTGTAAACAAATAGTAATTTTGCCCTATTGTCATTTTGCTCATTTGAAAATACTCATTACTATCATGTTGCTCCTTCCTATGTTTTGAACATAAGAGATGTTCTTAAGAAAGTAGATATGTCAATAATTACTTCACCAAAGCAGAACCACTATTTTAATCTAAAATAAATTAAATGAGCATCACAGTGATTTATGTCCCTTATGCCCAATATGAATGCTTTAGAATTGGTCAAGATTTTGTTATTTCTCCCATTCCTTATTAACTATTAATAGCCAATAAACTTAACTGTACAATATATCTGTATTTTTCAAATAAATGCAAAGGCAATCTTTTATATCATTCCTTATCTACATTTCTTTAAAGGTACCAAGTACATAGCTGTTAATGAATATATTTAGAAGCTATACTTACACATTTTTATTTTCCTATGTCTTATTCATGCTATAAAATATAGAATAACTATGTCATTTATGGCCAAAATTGCATGTATCCATTTCCTAAGTGAAATGGAACTAACCATGTCATGCATGTCAAGTTTGTAAGCCTAAACCATAGAGCTTATCATGGAAGACTTTCTCCAGGCTACTTCATTTTTCCCTGTCAAAACAGTCAGAAGATCAAAAGGATAGTGGCAGTGTTACTCCACATCACCTTATTTAAATGTTAAGTCCTTAAAATGACTTACTTTTCAACCTATCTAGGAGGAAATTTTTATTTCACTACTAATATGTATGACCCAATTTTAGGAGCAAGTTTAATAGATACATTGTACTCCAATGAAGGATGCTATATACAGCATGGAAACTGAACTCAAGAAATCAAATACAGCTATGACTAAATATAATTTCATTGTATCTGCTTGCTATCAAACCAGATGTGCTTGTGAACATAAAGATTCAAATTCAGAAAGATCATGGTGTGCAACATACTTTACCCTAGTAAAAGATGGTAATGATGGCATAATAATAGGGAATAAATGGACAAGCATCACATATAATACACACTGTATTATATTTTAAGGAGAAACCAGAAATTTGAATGCATTGGTATTATGGACTGAACTGTGTCCCTTGCAAATTCTTATTTTGAAATCTTAGCCCCAATGACCTCTGAATGTGACTGTACTGGGAGAGAATGTCTTTAAGAAGGTTAATTAGGTGAAAATGAGGTCATCAGGGTAAACTCTAATCCATTGTGACTGGTGTCTTTATGAGAATAGACAAGGACACAGAAACATAGAGGACAGACTATTTAAAGACTCCAGGAGATAGCTATCTACAAGCCCAGGAGAAAGGCTTTCAGAAGAAACTAACCCAGCAGACACCTTGATCTTGGACATCTAGCCTCTAGAATCATAAAGGGAAAAAATATCTGTTGTGTAAACTCCCATTCTGTGGCTCTCTGTTACGGCAGCCCTACACAATTAATACAATTAGTAACTTCCAAAGTACGTGTGAAGCCCTGTGCAAACATGTGGCAGAGGTAAGTTTTGTCTTCAATAAAACTTACTTGTCCTCCTACTCGCCATTTAAGATTTACCTTTTCCTTGCATGGGCTTCTTGATGACCAACACTTGATGTCCCTAGAGTTAAAGTGGTTGTCTACCATAGAGTTTCCCTTTTCTGCTTCTCCAAATGTACTCTCGAAGTGCTCTGCTCTTGACCTAAAGAAAGAGCCTATCACAAAGACTTTAATAACTGAGAATGGCTTGGCCTGTAGCTGTATTTGAGGGTATTTGTCTGCAAAAAGTAAGTAATATATTTTTAAATAAAGTGAGTCTTTTATGTTTTGTTTTGATAGTAATGAGAAGGTGCGATGAAACTGCCATCTTTACTCATTGTTAGTGGTAGCATAAACTGGAAAGCAATTTGCCAGCATGCATCAGTCTTAAAAATATTTTCTTCCTTTCACCCAGTTATTTCTTTTCTTGGAATCTCTCAAAAACCTCTCAAGTTACTAAACAGATGCTGATAAACATTTATGTACTCTCATAATCCATTTCACTACTATTTATAGTGGTTCCTTTCCCCCAAAGAGGAGACAAGATAAAAGTCTTATACTAGAGAAACTGAATTGTCCCCACAGATAAGGAAATATTGGGCTTTTACCTGTAACTGTTTTCAAAGACAATTTAATGGGATGAGAATATAAAGTGAATTGTACAATTTTAGCTCAACAGATTGGGTTACAATAGGATTCCATTGTGTAAAACTAAATTAACCCCCCGACATCAGCAATTCCCTTTACTCCATCCAACTCCTCTCCTGACCTTCCAAATAAAGATTCCCCTTTATAAATTAGTAAAACATTCAGAATTATAGGAAGCGGACAAAAGTTGCAAGTTTCAGAAGACTTCTCCATCCTCTCAGGAGAGGCAGGGAGAAAGGTTTTCCACAGTTATAATCTGTGAACACAACTTGTTAACTGCTTTAATTCTTGAAGTGACCTGCCTCTCTTTCTATGTCCAATCTAATCAACAGTAATGACATCCAGTTATAACTGGCCTCTCACTTAGAGGATCAAGATGTAATCTTCCTTTATACCCTAACAGAGGTATCACAAAACATCTCATGACATAAGACATAAAGAGTAAGAAATATTCTATATTTTATTTGATCCTCTTGTTATAAGGTGTGTACACTGTTTTAATGGAACAGTAGAAACCTTATTGTACCATGACTGCACGGTGAGAGCTTAGCAAAAACATATTTTCAGTA